AACTGGATCCCGCGATAACACAAAAAGTACTGAAAATATTTTAATGAAACTTGATATATGGATAGATGGCAGTATGTAGATTATGCACGTCTTTTTCTTTTCTTCCTATGTTGAAAATTCTGGTTGCTATGGCAACAAATAGACTGAAAATATGGCAAATTTTACACATAACCTGGATCCCGCGATAACGCAAAAAGTACTGAAAATATTTTTATGAAACTTGATATATGGATAGATGGCAGTATGGAGATTATGCACGTCTTTTTCTTTTCTTCCAATGTTGAAAATTCTGGTTGCTATGGCAACAAATAGACTGAATTTCAAGATTTCTGATTCTAGTTTTTAAGTTTTTTTACTATAAGTTCTTTATTTCTTAAGGTATTTTCTTCAAACTTTAAATATAAGTTACTTGTTATCAACCACATCATATGTGACAAGGTTTACAACTCTAGCACAAAATTTATCAGAATTACCTCCCTTGAACTTAAAATTTTCATGAAAAAAACATTGTTTTTTTTTTTAATAAATTCTTTTTCTGAATGTATCTACTTCAAACTTCATTATATAAATGTTTCTTATTATTACTCAACATTTGTGAGTGTTCAATACTCTAGCAAGACTATTTCCAGGAATTATGCCCCTTTTGAACTTAGACTTTTTTTTTTGAAAAATTGGTAATTTTGACTCCAACTTCTTCAATCATGATAGGATTTTAAAAATGTTATATTTTGATAACAGGGATGCTTTTTAAAAAATAACTTTAGAGTGTCCTTCAGTCCTGTCTGTGTACATAAAGGAGAGCTGTTCCTGTGATCACGTTTAAAGAAAACTTTTGTCGAACAAATTTACTAAAATTAGGAACATAAGTGACTTGGCCATAATGCCCTTCAGAATGTTGCTTGCGGCTCTTACCGGTAGGGGACTTATGGTTGCTTGCAATACTATCGATAATTGCTTTGTTAAATTTGTCTTGACGTCATATCATGTGATATGCAGGGGCTCCATTACCTCTGTCTGTAGAATAAAGTCCATTTATTTAGTTCCGGCCATTGCTGTACTTGTTAAAGGCAGCACGCATTCTTGTTACTTAGGACAATAACGCCCCTTTCAATGGTATAGGGCACGAAAAGTTCACATTGGCATGGGATTCCAAGTGATAACCGCCGATGAACACATACCCGCGGATGTTTCTAAATACAAAATTACCATGTTGAATTCTGCTTAAGCCCGTGCTGAGGGGGCTTGACGGTAAGTTGCAACTTGAAGACTGTCCATAGAACAGGCTCAAATCAAATCGAGCCTGTACATTTCAAGTTTGTCTTGTTTGGCTTTTTAGGGATCAATTATTTCTCTATTGAGCTAGATTATTTGTTTTTAAAAATAGCAATCATCTACAATATAATTAAGTGGTCTAGAAGTATCTGACGGAAATTGTAGGCACGTACTAGTATATACACTTCTAATTGTGAGGGTATTGTCCTTCCTGTAAGTGCTCATGGATATATCCAGACCAAGTAGTTGGATAGTCCTTATGGTATTGCGGTAATAGTACAGCGTCATTGCTCAGCTGGCTTTAAATTATAGAAACACCATTTTAAAATTAACAAAACTGACTCACTTGCCTTCTAAAGGCGACATGACTAAAAAGAACAGCCTCATGCAAAACAAAAAAAAATCATAAATCCACCACCTTAAACATCAATAAACAGTAACGATTGCTTCTAGCATGTATGAATGTTCTCAATAAATAACACAGGGTTTCAATTTCGTAGAATTTTTCTTCTTTTATTTTGAAAACATGGTCATTAAAGCAGGAATAATGAGAAGAATAAGAAATGATAATATGAAGATAGCAGGCGCATGTATGACTAATTGTTATAAATGAACTTAAAAATGGGACCAATTATTTAAAGTACTTTTAAGTTAACAACGGTAATGGAAGACTAATCTTAATAATTCGGCAACTGATATAGGCATGTATAACTGTTTGATCAAAAATGAAATTATGCAAATCGTGTATTATATAACATTACGCTAGTTTTGGGATAACACTGTTCCAATAAAGTTCTGATGTTTATAAGTATATCAATTTTTAATATAATAAACCTTTAAGTATAGGTTATGTGTTTAATAATATGTATTAAGAAAAATAATTGGTCAAGCCTGCCGGCAGGCAGGCGACCAAGTTATTTTTGGTTAATGCAGTATGATATTAAACATTACCTATTTAAATGATGCAACATGATTTTTTCAAACCAAAAACGAGGCATTTCACTAAAATCACCGATATAGCTTTCGCCCTTTCTCTCTACAAGATGCTGTCTACACCTTGTCAAAGTTTCTAAAACATATCACATTTAGATTAAGCTAAATAAATTGGCCCTATCAAAATCAGGCACATTTTTAACTGAAATGGTCACGAATTTATACTATAAATAATCTGGATGAAAAGAGAGCGTATGAAACTGGGAAATTGCTATGGATCTCAGGTATGATATTTATCTGATGGAGTGAAGGTGAAACCGATTTCATGAGTCAGCCTAGTGATTTTAATATTTAAGTGAATAACTATATAAGACGTATAATGAAGAATATTTGGTAAAAATGTGAACAGATGAGGGCGTATTATACACATATCACAGAATATCATAAATCTTCTCACAACTTATAATTATCATATATTATCGTTAATAAGGATAGGCTTAAGCTTACATTTCACTCCATTAAATCTATTTAGAGTTAATTTATCAACCTACTGCCTACTTATGGATTCTAATTGCTCATTTCCCTCGCGTTCTTAAATTTACATGTTTTGTACCTCTCTCAGATTTCTGATATTGATTCTAAAATAGGTAGTATTATTACAATCGTGGATGACCGAGGTGGTCCTATTCAGTACGATAATAGAGATATTTGTGTCCAGTGTCCAAAATTATTGAGAAACATAAGGGTATTGCTTAATGACCCTCAATTAATTGGAATGTCTTATCGATTAAAAGCATGTGTAATGGTTATTATATCATGAAAAAATGACAAAGATGATATAAGAACATACTTATGTAGTGATAGAAATGGGTGTACTCTATTCGCGAGGTGGAATTTAAGGTGAATATGCACCACGTTTAAGAGTCTGAAAAATCAGTAATGCTATATTAAATATACAGGCACATTTATTGCATTTAAATAGAGTTAGGAAAGGGATTAATAAAATAAAGTTAGGACTTGATTTTTTTATCATATTGTATCTCTTTGCGTGTGGTGCGCTTCCACATGTGTGTGATTCAGTCTTAGGGATAATATAATTTAATGTATCTTAGTATAATTTCCACTATATCTTATGGAGCGAGCTTTCTGACCTATAGTTTCCTTTATTTTGATTTGTAGCTTTGGCATTTGATTTATCTCTGGACTTTATATATCTGACACTGTGTATCAGAATAATGCGTGTATGTATCAATTTATACAGAGAAGTTGCCTAACTACTTCCTACCCTTATTAGTATCCTAAACAGTTATCCAAGTGCAAAAATTATATTCGAGAATATTGCGAATTGAATTAAGACTAGGTTAAATGTCTCCACATTACCAACTTAAGTGAATATTGTTACTTATAAAATTAGTAAGTTTAATATACTACATATTGGCTCCAAATTCTTAATGCGAGAGTAAGTATACACTTATTAAAGCGAACATGAGTAATACATTTGCTGAAAATCGTTATGAGTATCATTATCGTGGGAATTTTCTCGATCACCTAGCTTTAAATAGATTAGGATCGGATAAATAAGAAATGGAAACTATGTAACTAGAAGATATAGATACCCTGTGTATTTATTGAACGAGATCAATGTATAGCTGATTTATTGAAAAGCATATGAATACATATAATTAACAAAAGATAATTTTGTTCAATGAGATGTTTAAGGTGCGTGCCTGGCAGGGTCAGGCGTATCACAATGATTATTTTTTTTGTTTAAATTATGTAATAGTAAGTGCGTTCCTTTTTCAACCAAAAAACAAGGCATTTCTCTAAATCACTGATAGCTCCGCCCTTTCGCTCTACAAGATGTCTACACCTTGTCAAGTTTCTAACATGTCACATTTAGATAAGCTAAATAAATGGCTGTTCAACATATAATCAGGCACATTTTCATTGAAATGTCACAGAATTTATACCTTTATCTACATCTACTATCATGTTTCTATAAAATATCTGAAGAGGAAAATAATGCAATTAGGTAAAAATAATGGAGTTAATGAAATGTGTATATCCTTTTACAATAAATGGAAAATGTGAGAAAAATATATTAAAGATTATTAATTGATACAAATTCGTTTTTAGCTTCAAGTTATTCACTAATATTTAAAATCCCTATTGATTTGCTCATTTGAAAAACAGTATTTTTTGTATTTTTCTGTGTATCAATTTACGTTTACAGGTGGAGGGGGTCCATTTACAATGAGTTTTCCAGCCAAAAAATGTAATCATTGTATTCTTAATATCAATGATTGTTAATGCAGTTCATTCCTATCAAGTGAAAAAAATAATGTTTTGGAAAATATAAAGTTTAAAACACTCAGCAATTTATAACACACATTTTTCTTAGAGTTAAAAGGATATAAAAAAGTTACTATGTAATCATTTGTCTCTGCGTGCCCAACATGTATTATCTATGTAATAAATTAATTGATTGTATCCTCACATTTAGAAACACCAGACCTCGTCTAATTTTTTTTATGTTGGCATTGTTTAGCTAACCTAGATATTTTACAAATCATACCTCTAACTCCTCCCTAATATAATGCATTATTGAAATTTGTTAGACTGCGGTTAGACGACAGATTAAGTGAATTTTATTTAGTTAGTACACATTAACCAAAGTTAGACTAAGCAGAAATTTGAAAAATACTACAATGTGATTGGACAAAAAATAATGTTGATCGTTAAGGTAAATAATTGAGCAGAATTTTACAGAAAAATGTAAAAAAATTGTATTTTGAGAATGTTAATATGTGTATTTATCATTTCTAATATTACAACTGCAGTTCATTGCTCAGAGACAGTGTTTCACCAGTTGCTGTTTTAAGTTTCTTTGTTTTCTTCTTTATAAACTGTACAAACCACAGGTTCTGATTCAAATCTACTCCCATGTCTTGAACCAATTATATCTAAAGTTACGGCGATAACAAATCCAAATAAAGCAGTCCCTGCGGCCTGATACACGAAAGAGTGTGGACCAATATTATCATACAAATAGCCTATTAAGCTTAAATAGAATAAAAACCCAACAGAAGCTCCGAGCATTTGTGAAGCCATTCCCATACCCGTTAATTCAATATGATAATCTGTCCATGACACACCTGTTGGCCACATTGGTCCAATGAAAAATGCTATTGGCTGAATAAGAACCCAAAGCGCTGTTGAATTTGAATTAGCAAATATCGCCAATAAAATAGATGACAACAACACGCCACCTGTTTCTAGGACAATAAGAATTCTAACAGACAGAAATCTTGCTAATATAAAAAATATAAAGCGACCACAAGAGAAACTTATCCAAAAACTAGTGTTCAAAAGAGATCCGTCAGTTTTTGAAAAATTTAGTTGATCGATAGAAAAACTTCGTATGAATTGTGATAAAAACCTTTGTGCACCTCCAGCGTTCATGAAATAAAGACACGAAAAAAATATTATGCTCGATCCGTACCAAAACCGTCCTTTTGCGCATGATGCCGGATTTATCATTTGAAGCATTTTGCTACACTTATTGCTTTTATCAATTTGTGTTTGGTTTGCAGATAAAGAAGTTCCATCTCTCTCTGTTTGATCCGATGATTTGCTCTCTCTTGTTTTAGTACTTGTCATTATTTTTCGATCAATGCTAAATTGATTTATTACTTTGTTTTCAAATAATTGAAATATGATAAATATGAAAGATAAGCTAGTCGTTGAAATAGCTGATATAGCAAATGCATATTCAATTCTTGAATTTTGAAGACATGCACTTTCATCACAATCTTGCAGAACTATTGTTGAATTCCTTGAAAAGCTGTCATTACCTGACGTCAAAAAACTGTCATTGCCCTTCTGAATTTCAGTGCCGAGAAAAGGATTTGAATATAGCGGAGTCAGAAATGATCCAATTCCATAACCAAGATGCATCAATATTGTCGGCGAGGCTGATTTCTCTTTCCAAATGTTCAAATTAATGCGAGTTCCAGCTGAAAAATATCACATATCGATCTATATTAAAGATACAAATTTTATTCAAAGTGCTAAAATGACCGTATAATGATCCGAGCATTCTTTGGCACAATAATTTCTGTAGAGCCAATTTGCGCCTCAAAAACCAAAGAAATATAAACACAATCGTACCTAATTCATAAAACTTGTGCATTAAAGGTATTCCTATTTTATGTTCACAGACGTTTGTCAATGTATTATTGAATAAATCGCCTTAATACCGACAGCTACACTATGTTGTGGGCTGTTGGTGTTAGACTTTCTTCTTACATGTGAATAATATTAAACGGATATGAAGCAGATTTGACGTTCGATTCTTGCCAAATGAAATAAGAAGCAACCACAGACTGCAAATCGATGAAAATAGGAAATTCATTGTACACACATAAAAGGACAGTAACCTAATAACTTAGTAATAAGTACAAAGCTGCAATACGAGAGCTACTCACACATGAAGTTTCAAGGTGATAGCTTTTAAACTTGAGTGTAAGCAGAAAAAAAACAATTGCATATAAGCATGAATAAATATAACAACTTATAACTCTGAAGGTAAGAGTTATCATTCTTATGCACTGTACACTCCGTTAATGTCATATATCTTCTTCTGTAAGTTAAGCTCCGAACAAAAAATAGGGAACGGAAGGATGACAATATTACCATATTCCCCGCCAAAAAAGGGGCAGGGGATAAAAAGAAAAGGGAAATCAGTATTTACATGCATACATGTATTTTTACTTACCTGAATTATGTATAGCAAGACCAAATCCAGTCATGAAACTGAGGATCCATAGATAATAAACGTTAGGAACCCATGGTATTAATACAACAGAAACCGCTGCTAAGTTTAAAGCCATTGCTAAGGTAAAATGACTGTAACTACTAAATCTATCCACGAGAAAACCTCCGACTATACAGCCTGGAAACGTCCCTGGTGGTATATGTCCGAAATTTTCAAGTCTGGCTGGAATACTGATAAATGCCGTAAACAGAAGTGGATAAAATAATATTATTTTCGTGATTATAAAAGTATGTCAATTATTCGTCAGTGACTAATATTAAGTTTGTAAAAGAAGTTAACTAATCTCAAATAATGCAACTTGTCGCCGGTAACCGGCTTTTCAATAAAATATATACTTATTACTAATTTCATAATGAGATCCTAATTCATCTCAATTAAAAAGATAAATGTTGCAAAAAAAGCTCTCACTGCTTTAATCGTTTGTACTTAACTCTCGGAGACCTAAATGCGTTAGGAGAGCTTAATTCAATGCAGAGATATTTATTTAAACATTCACAGCAAACCAATGATTTATAACATGAAATCTATAACAGTAACTATTTTTAACATACCATGACGATCCAGGATAAAACCAAAGCTCCGGTTTCGATTATTTTTTGCCAAGTACTTCGGTCACGTAGACCAGCAGTATTATCCGCAACCATTTTCCTAGAATAGAATGGTAATATAATAATGGTGTTATATACGTTATTGTTAACTAAGACTTTATCCTAATATTATTACACTGTAGTTTATTTCATTTTTCTTTATCTGAACTGAATTGGAAGCAAAATATTAAAACCTATTGGCAATTAAAATATTTTATCATATCGGTTTACATTTTCAGATAATTATTTAGTCATTGTTTGATATGTACATAATCAAATGAAAACTGACTAGTTCTAAATGGTCATATAAATATTTTTCATTTGTGAGAAAGTTTATGTAAAACAATAAATACACGCATAACTTACATTACATTTTGCATTCGTTTTTAGTGTACATTAGATGTAAAGAAACAAAAACATACGAGTGTATACGTCGGTATATTGTAAGGAAATAACTATTACAATTTCGGTTTAAATAATAAGAAATAATGAAATACCTACTTCTTACATTTAAACAGATATTTTTAACTTTTTCATGTTAATACTGACTGATCGGCTAGTAGAATAAATCATATTTTAGATCATCCATGTGTGTGTGGTTTTTTTGTTTGTTTTTATTTACAAACGTAAAAGCAGGAGAATCCTTAAACCACTGCAGTATAATCAAAAATTAATCTTTGTGTGCAAATATGGAATTAAAATGTTTATAACATGTCTTTATTAGATTGCTATTGTATAAATAAAGCTTTTGTTTTTAAAATAATTTTGTGGTACATCAAATGACAACCTTAGTCAACAACAATCGACTTTACGATAAGGTATACAGACAGGAAATTAAAGCATTAAAGATAGATTGTGTTAATAGAAGGTATGCAATTAATATACATTGACAAAGTATCTGAAAACAAATTCATGAATGCGCAACGAACTGACATATCTCTAGTCTCTAGAGCATGCGCAATGGCATTATTTTGGTGGTATTGAGGAGTCAAGGAACGAACGGCCATACGCTACTGAAACTATGATTCGAGCCTTCATGGTTCATGGTTAGTAAGTAACTGTTGAATTCAGTGATATAGAAGGAGGACCACAACGGGCGTCACAATGGAGTCATTGTTCGTAATTTTTCAACTTTCAACAATAAGGATATCATATGGAAACAGGATCATTGCTTGAACGGTATTTGTTTTGTGAAAGAGCAGGGCCAGAAGCAACGCAAATTGGTTCTGATACTTGCGTTTACCATTTTGATGATGATAATTTTCCCACATATGTTTCGTTAAGTCGTTAGGAGGAGTTCCTTTCGACAAAATATGCAATTCATGTGGTAAACAAATGCTTGATTTAGTAAAGCAGCCTCAGCGCAGATTGCTAACTGTAGAATAGGTACCAATTGTGATACTGGCGAACTTACTTGATATACATGTAGTAGAAATGTGCTTAAAATTAGATACAGAGGTGGCTACGTAACAATGGGTAACTGTTCCTTATCTTGGATGTCATTCATCATATGCTCTTATGTGGAACAATTGGGAAAATCAAGAGTAGCTCCAAAATGTTCTCACTTGCATTATATGTGGGCCAACAGGGTCATGTATGAACTTCTCGATGAGACAGATTTTAAGAAACTTGAAATGGTGTGCCTGAACAGGCGAGTTAAATTACTACGTGTGATTATATGTGTGATTATAGTTGTACCTTCGGCGAACGTTGTGCTTATGTTGAGATACTAGAAGTAGATTTATTGCAGTAATGAAATGAACTTGTTTGTAACAAGTTTAATGGTACCACATGTGCACTAAAACAATTTGATGGTAATAATATATATATATAATTATATAAAATATATGGACTTCTAGTTCTATATGATTTGTAATGTTTATAGCAATCTTTATCAAAGAAATAAGTGCAGGATTTCATGGCAAGAGTATCGACAAGCTATTTATTCCTTTAATATGACTAAAATACAAGCAAAAAGGTAATCGTGTACCACTGTTTACATGATTTTATATGTTTATAATGTTGTTATAGCATTTATGGAAAAAATATAAATAGGACTGCAAGGGAGGTAACTTAGAATAACCAATAAACAAATTAATTAAAATTAAATCAACAGCATTATATTTTACAACGTTTTAATTAAAGCAATATCAAGGTTAAAACATGTATAACTACGGTTGCATAGAGGTGACATTTGCAGTTTTATTTTATCTCATGGCCACAACGTATTATCTTGAGGCCTCAAGATAATATCTCGTGGCTACGACTTATTTTCTCGTGGCCACGACTTATTATCTTGTGGACGCAAGATATTATCTCGTGGTCACAAGATAATAAGTTGTGGCCTCAAGATATGTAAATGGTCGTTTTATCTTGAACAAAAGTTAATATCACACTGACCATAGCTTTCGCAGAAGCGGCGGGTCATTTCATTGGCTAAAATAAGTCTAGGCCTCAAGATAATTAGTCGTGGCCACGAGATAATAAGTCGTGACCAGTAGCTAATAACCCTTGTCCACGAAATAATACCTTGAGGACACAAGATAGTAAATCGTGGCCATAGGATAATATATTGAGGCCACATGATAATAGGTCGTGGCCACGAGGTAATAGGTCGGGGCCACAAGATAATAACTCGTGGCCACATGATAATATCTTGAGGCCACAAATAATAAGTCGTGGCCACGAGATAATAAGTCATTGCCACGAGATATTAACTTGAAGCCTCAAGATAATAAGTCGCGACCACTAGATAAAATAAAACTGCAAATGTCACCTTTATGCCACCGTATATAACAGTTCATATTAACTTTAATTTTTCTTCTTCTTGAAATAATATAGACTAATCGTCGGCAATGGATATAGCAGAGACATATAGCTAGCAAATACACATAAGAGATCGCCAATGGCAGCATATATTTATGTTTTATAATTAATAATAAAATAAATAAATGTTACCTTAAACCAACTTTCGGCCAAATTAAAAAAAAAAGAAATATGATATTATCCAGTAATTTTACATTTTAAGTCCCAGCAGTAATCGAATATCAATTTTGTCCGAAATTCGGACGTTCGATCGAGTACTCGGTTAACCGGTTACTCGTTGCCACCCCTTAATTATTTACATGTATATATGAGTGTAAAATGCTTCAAATTTGGTTACTCATATTCTAAAGATTGTTCTCCAATTTTATGTTAACTGAATATTTTTTTTCACGTACCATACTATTGTGAATTTAACATGTTCAACAATGTACGAATAGTTTGTTTTGACAATGTGCAGAATGTAGACGTCCAATAAATCATATAATAAGAGCAAATTGACTCCCTTAAATATATATATCCGTGAAATTAATGATAAGTCACATTTGACTCCCTAAAATATTTATGTGCATCTGTTAGCCGATAAACCGTTAACTGTGTACTAGTTTTAACTAGACCTATCACTGAAGGTGATTAATACCCCCACCAGCAACTTTGACTTTTGGAAAAAAAAGTAGTCTGAATTAAAATTTGAACACAAACTATCAACAAAGAAATATTTCAATTAATTGTAATCGCCAATGGGGTCTCGAAATAAGCTTGCTATACACCAGGTTTGATTACAATATCTCATTCTTAACTCTTAGTTATTGTCCGGAAACCATTTTTCTATTTTTAGAAACACTGTAACGGTGACCTTGACCCTAGGGGGTCCAAATGCAATACCAACCAAGGTCTTCATATTAGCTTGCTATACACCAAGTTTGATTACAGTATCTCATTCCTAAGTCAAGTTATTGTCTGGAAACCATTTTTCTGTTTAAGTAACAGTGACATTGACCTTGACCCCAGGGGGCCCAAATGCAATACCAAACCAGGTCTTCATATAAGCTTGCTATACGCCAAGTTTGATAACAATATCTCAATTCTAACTCTAGTTATTGTACGGAAACCATTTTTCTACTTTTAATAACGGTGACCTTGACCTTGACCCCAGGGGGTCCAAATGCAATACCAAATCAGGTCTTCAAATAAGCTTGCTACACACCAAGTTTGATTACAGTATCTCATTCCTAAGTCAAGTTATTGTCCGGATACCATTTTTTTATTTTAAGTTACGGTGACCTTGACCCCAGGGGGCCCAAATGCAATACCAACCCAGGTCTTCATATAAGCTTGCTATACGCCAAGTTTGATAACAATATCTCATTCCTAACTCTAGTTATTGTCTGGAAACCATTTTTCTATTTTTAGTAACGGTGACCTTGATCTTGACCCCAGGGGGTCCAAATGCAATACCAACCCAGGTCTTCATATAAGCTTGCTATACGCCAAGTTTGATAACAATATCTCATTCCTAACTCTAGTTATTGTCCGGAAACCATTTTTCTATTTTTAGTAACGGTGACCTTGACCTTGACCCCAGGGGGTCCAAATGCAATACCAACCGGAGTTTCCACATAAGGTTGCTATATACCAAGTTTGATTACAATACCTCATTCCAAACTCTAGTTATCGTCAGGAAACCATGATGTGGACCGACCGACGGACCGAC